TCTTTTTAGCTATATGAGATTATATTAATTAGATTCACATGAAAAAAGGACAAAACACGTGACATTTGAATAATTATTTAATGTTCGAATACATACTCTTTCAGAACCGGCCAAATCTACAAAGTGAAACTTTGACGTTATTTTAGAAGTTAAAGTTTTAGGTTTTTTCTTTTTTGAAGTTGTTTCAGAGGCTAGAACGCAATTTTCTTTATCATCATCAATATTTTCAACTCTTGTTTGTTTTAGGATAACGGAGAAAATAGCGTGCGACCGTGAAGACACCATGTTCATATCAGTGGATGCAACTGTTCGATATGAAGAACCTTGTTGTAATTGCCTAAAAAAGAACGAGATGTTATTAAAAATATAAATATATACATATATATATATATGCATCGATAATTATGAAAATTATGAAAATTAGAAAAATTATTTAAACACGTACTCCAAGAGTTCTTTTGGAGAGTTTACGGGAATTTCTTTAACACCAGCCCATTAACTCAGACCCTTTGAATCTTCTCTTATCATTAAATCATTTTTTCCTTTTTTAACATTTTCGCGATTTTGTGGATTTAATAAATCCACTAGATCTTCATTATATAATTCTAGAAAAGTCACAAAGACCTCAAATTGATAGGAAGGATTTTTTGATTTTCGATTATTAAGGTCTTCGAATAGACGATGTATTGAACGTGGGACCATACCCGTGGATTCACCTGAAGATCAAAATAGTGACGTAAGCAAATTGAATAAAAGATAAGTAAATGATAACGCGTATATATATATATATATATATTTATATATATTTAATATATAATTAAAAGTATGATCAAAGTGATTACCTATGTGTTCAGGTGATGAATTTGAGCCATCAAGGGCTGTACCCATACTATATGTTTTACCACTACCAGTTTGACTATCAAGTGTAACATGAAATTAATTAGTTATATGAAAAAATTCGAGATATACATTAATTAAATTATTAATTACCCGTATGCTAAGATCGTAACATTATAGCTAATAAACAAGGGCGG